AAGGAAAGCATTGTTTATGTATCTTAAGAATACAAAATTAAAATATAGAATCTAATAGATGTGAAGTAACGCTGCTACACACTCATGTACAGTAGGTGGCGGTATGCACCTTAAAGTTGCTTGTGATCCGCCATAATAGAAGAGAAGAAGAAGAAGAAGAACATTTAGGTGCATTACCGCCACCAACAAGTAAGGAGTGTGGACCAAAACACCATTACTAAATTCTTCTTCCCAAACCAGTGATCCACAAATATCGAAACAAAAGCTTATAACTCATGTTAAAAGAATAATTTTAAAGATATTTATAATGTTTAAATGTACCTTTTCCTGTTTAAGATACCTAATCAATTCCAGTCCTTGTAATATTTCCTACAGTTATATATTACATGTTCTATTGTCTCATTTTCCCCACAGTAATCACATCTTCCTGTTTCATGTTTTCCCATTATAAGTAATCTTGAGTTAAGTCCTGTATGCCCCAATCTTAATCTAGTTATTATCATTTCCTGAACTCTGTTACTTCCACTTTTTCATCTGATTTCTCCAGCCTTCGCTTGTATTCTATAGAACCATCTTCCTCTAATATTATCTTCCCACAGTTTTTGCCATTTGTAATTAATTTTCTTCCTGATTATGCTCTTAATTTCTGGTTTACTATTGCAACTCTAATATGGATTTCACTCCTGTTTGTAGATTCTTTTGCTTTTGAATTTGCGTCTTAATGCCAGTGTCGCAATACATTCTTTCTTTATTTTAATTATCACAAAAATAAAAAAAAATAAACGTATTTACTTCTTGATTAAGGAAAATAAAACCCAATTACGCACTGTTTATAATAACCACAAGGTTTACACATACTTTACAGGGAGTTCCCTTAATAAACCAATACAAGTGATGTTACAAAGAAATAAACAACGGATCAATCATTAATCTTTTTTAAATGAAAGACAAAAATGAAAAATAGAAGGGGGATTTCCTAATAAAGAAAATCGAGGAGCAAATTCTTCTTAAATTCTACATTTTTCTGATAAATAATACATTGGCACTTCTGATAAGGAACATGTTTACATACAGAAATGAATCAGTTTAATAGACGTTCACCTGTTTATTCAGCAACAAATAAACTTCAGAATATAACCTAATAGTAAACATAGTGCAATAATCTCAGCATATCTGTTTTGTGATGGCCTCTGGGATTTTTTAGTAAACATGTTGAACAAAGAGCATATGAAAAACAGAGCAACACACCAGAAATACAAGGATAAAGTTAAGTCTTAAGGCAGGGTTATGCTAAAAAAAAATAAAAATATTAGGTCTAAACAACTGCAGTGCTCAAACCAGAGTGTTAAAGGATTAAAAGAGGTATTTATACTCAACCGAAGATTTGCCATAACGAGACAAGCTCCTATTTTGTCTTATATGCACGATGAGAATAAAATATCTTATGTTTGTATGCTGTTTTGGCTTGTTTTTATATTTAACTCCGCATAATTTAATTTTTGCTGAATTCTCCATTTATTCCAATGATTTAATAAAACAAAATCAGAGAGATCATGAATTACTAATGCAATGTGAAATTATTTTAATGCTTGCAGATTTTGGAATAAGGATCCATTCAGTTTCACTTGTAATAAATCAAATTATCACATATATATATATATATATATATATATATATATATATATATATATATATATATATATATATATATATATATATAAATATGCAACAAGCGCCTTGAATTTTTATTTCTTAAGATGACCTTGGATAAGCATAATAAACTGATCATCTTTTAAATGTGATGACATTTTCTGTAGGGTACCTGCTTGATTAAAAGTTCACATTGAAACACACAGAAAGACATTAAATATTTTGTTACTGTTTCTTTATTTATGTTCTTATTAAATTACATAATGATCACCATGCTTACCATGCAGGAACAAGGTCTCTGTATGCATAATGTATTTTAACTGTGAAGAGTTGTGTTACGGTATGAGCAGAGCTAAACGTATTTTGAAAAATATTTTCTTACATTCATATTCTAGATATAAGCTATAATGCTTACTTTACAAAACAATCCTTAAATGTGCAAAAAATGCAAATGCAATGATTATGCTTTATATGTTTTTAGCTGGTTAATGTCAGGTTACAATGTTTGCTACAGTGTGCACGCTGTTCAAATGATCTAAAAGCCTGCAAAGCCCAATATTACGTTACATATATACTATTCTTACAAAAAACATTCAAAGAAAAGGAGGAAAAAAACAACCAGTCACTCTTGTTAAGGCATGTTTTCCTAACATTTGACCTACAAACATGGAAAATTCTTAGTGAAATTGCACATCCTTTTCTGATTTGCTAAAGCAGTTTTTCATCTAATCCACTGTTCTAGCGCTAGGAAGTGTGAGTTTGAAGCTATAGGTCACATTTATACATTGATCTTCAAACCAAAATCCATGCCGCATTTCTTTTTAAATAAACAGTCCATTTCATTTCTGGATGATATATTTACAGAAACCTTGTCTGATGAAGTAAGCTGCTGCTACAGAAAACTTTGAAAAAGCCATATGAGATGCTCAGCTGTTAGAATGTTTCAATACTTTTCTAGACTTTTCTAGACAAAATTAAAGGCTGTCTGGTCTGATTATTGTATCCTACCACCTGTAAATGAACCCCTTTCACCTTGAAATAAATGTGACCGATTGTGATGCACCATGTGTTTTAAAATCCATCATCTTTCTCTGTGACATGCACCTATCAAATCCCATCAAATAGGGAATAGTTTCAAATGGTGAACAGACCCAAGATTAGATTCTATAGGGAGGGGAACTGGTTCTTTCAGTTTGAGTGGATTTTTTTTTTTTTACAGAGTCATTAATTCATGCATTAATAACAGAAGTTCACACAGAAGCACGTTTCCCACCAACTTAGAGAATTCAATTTAAATAATAAGAAAGCTGGTGGAAATACTGCTTTAATATTTCACAAAAGTTTAAGGATCTTTTTTTTTTCCGCAATTCTTAACAAGCTGATGCAGGAACGTAAACGTTGTTATATTCTGAAACCTGATATCTCAATGGTTTTGGTTGTTTTCTACCTTTTCATATGTATAGATTTCTTTTTACTGAGCTTCCCGCCCTCAGACCAATACCAAAATAACTCATTCACAAGCTCCATTATTAGTTTATAGTGTGCATTTTCAGTCAGTCTTTATGGCTCGGTTCCTATAACTAGAATAGGTTACAAAGTCAGGGAGGATAGAGGCAACTAGCAGGAGGAGAGGAGAAAAAAGACAATCAGGCTTCTAGACGTTTAGTTTGTTTGATGATGGGGGTGTAACCCCTATGAGCTTCGAGTCTGACAACGGACTGACAACCCCCCGTATCAGGTTCTTGTTGCAGTCGCCCATCGTGGTCTCTGAGGGAAGCTTTGCGTGCGTTACGCTCCCTGTCAGGTCCATCAGGTCCTTAAGAGCCTGGTTGTGGGTCATAAAACTCTGGTGAATATCTTTATCTGGTGAGTACTCAGGAATAGATATCAGCTCTTCCTTTGAAGCTGGACTGAAACACAGAGTGAGAAAACATTAGCCTCCTAAATATTCAAAGTTTTAAGCATCTCACTCAGCACTGTTCAAACCCAACTTAGAGCCTTCAAAGACCTGGTCTAAATTGATTTTACAGGCAAGGAGAACAATAATGAGAGGAACAACTAAGAGTCCTGCTTTGGAGCAGCTGCAGATGTTATTAGCCTCGGTGGAAGAATCTATTTTCTTGAAAAATCTGTGGTTTTGTGGAAGAATTACCAGAAAACAGACATGTTTGAAAGAAAAGCACAAGATGAATTTGTTGTTTGGCCAAAACCAATAGGAGACAAGACACTTGTGGAAGGTGGACTTCTATAACATCTGACCAGTATTGATATGAATGTAAGATGTAACACTGTGCATCACCCTGAACATCACATTTGCAAGGTGACACACAGTGGTGGCACCGTCATGATGTGGGGATGCTTTTTTTCAACAAGGAAATCGTTGAAAAATGAGGAGATGGGTTGAGCTAAAGCTAGACATTGAGCTAAAGCTTATGTGTAAAGCTAGTTTGAGCTGTTCTATAAAAACAAAATGTATTTAAGCTTGTAGTTCTAAAGCGAAAAATGTGAAAGAAGTTCAACAAGGCACCCTATGTGAGGACTTACCTAACATCCATGGATTGCACCTCATCACCGGATCCTGCTTGTTTCACATCTAATGGCTCCAGCTTGATGACTGGTGGGGGTAAACGTGCAACTGGTACCACTGTCACAGAGGGTCTACCACCTCCATCATCTGGCCCCTTTTTCACCTTTCCCTCAGCTGAGACAGACACACTGCTTTGCTGTGTGCCTCCTTTAGGAATTGTTAAGGCACTTTCTTCCCCCTTCACCGCTCCATTCATCACCCTCCCCTGTCTTTCCATTACTTTGACGTCTCCTGTTGACTCAGTCAACTCTTTGTAGGTTTGTGTGGAGATTTTGACATTAGTTTTGTGCTGCTTGTTCAGATTCAGGTCCGTCTCTCTTCCCTGCTGCTTGAATGAACTGGTGTTTACCTCTCTGTTGAGTTGACTGCCGCCGTTCTCTTTACTGGTTTGTTTTTTCTCAGGTCTCTTTTCAGAAACACCGTGTGTCTGTGTGACCAGATGACTGTTGTTTTGAACTTGTTTACCCTTCTCACTGTCCGCCTGTGCTGCTGCTGTTTCTTTCTTAAGGAAAACACTTTCCTTTGTCTGAATCTGCTCTGTTTTTTGCTCTGCTACCTGAAACTCAACCTTTTTGCTTTGGTGCTTGATGACACGAGCTTTGGTAATTACATCCCCTGTGAAAAATATACAAAAACATTACAGTGGACTTGAAATGTCACCGGAAATCTGTTTGATCTACAAAGGTGACCAAAAGCAGGATCAAGAGCAGCCTTTGTCATGGGAAACGAAATAACTGAATAGCGTCTTGTTGCAAACTGCAGAGCAGTTCCCTTGCACAGTTCTGCTAAAATGGTTCAAGGACATTCACAAGAGCAGCCCGGGGTTGCAGTCAGCTCCCATGATACAGCTCTGCTGTGAGGAATGTCCAATCAGCAACAAGAAAAGAAAAAAAAAGTCCTTCACTGCTACTTCTTCACCACAGGGAATCACGTTCTGGACACTACATGCACAGTTATCAGGCAAGTAGCTTATCTTAACTGTGAGCTATATTAAAATCAAAGGCGTGTAAATATGTTTTATTAGATGAATTGACCTGCAGCAGATCTCACAGGTTTGCACAACATATTCAAAAAGCCATGTGGTATGTCACATTTCAACTGAAAAACTTTTCTCAAAGTATAGTTGTGCCTATCCTTTACAGTATCTAATACATTGGTTGAACATATTTAGCTTCAGTTAAGACATTTAGTGTTTTTCTACAGGAGTCCAACTCCATCCCAATTTTTAATTAGGCAAAATTTTTCATTTCTGCTAAAAGAAGGCTCCCCAAATCTCTATAAGGACACACGCAGCACGCTACTTATTTTCTATCAGATTTAGTCATTTTAAGAAAACAAAAAAAAACAAACATGCTCTTCAGTTTCTTTGTGTTAATATTGATAGCTCATATAGAAGTAAAAAAATTAAATAAAAATGAGAGGGATGCTGCTACTCTGTATGGTGTTGTTTTACCACTGTCTATTTTATCTACAGCAAATTTAAAACAAATAAAGTTGTCAAAACTGCTAACAATACATTTTCTAACAAGATTTTATTGATATTTTGTAAACTGTTTACAGACTATATGGCTTTGAAGGTTTCAGCTGAGCGAATGTCCACACAATCAACTCCCTGAACCCATCATGACAAGTTCAATGCGTGTCTGATAAATCAAATTCGCCAGAAAATTACCGCAGATGTTTTTTAACTTTTTTTTTTTTTTTTTTAAAGATGCTCCTCTGTATTAATTAAACTATTTAAGGACATATGAAAACCTGGTTATTACTACTGTATTACTTTTTATATTTGCGTTCCCAAACAGTGTTTTTAGAGTTAGGCATATTTACAACAAACGTCACACTACAGCTCATATAGAAGTAAAAAAAATAAATAAATAAATTTAAAAAAATGAGCATGATGCTGCTAGTCTGTATGGTGTTGTTTTACCACTGTCTATTTTATCTACAGCTCATTTAAAACAAATAAAGTTGTCAAAACTGCTAACAATACATTTTCTAACAAGATTTTATTGATATTTTTTAAACTATTTAAAGGCTATGGCTTTGAGGTTTTCATCTGAGCAAATGTCCACACGATCAACTTAGTCCAATGCATGTCTGATAAATCAAATTCGCCATAAATTACTGCAGTTTTATTTATATTTTGGTTCTCTGTATTAATTAAACTATGTGAGGACACATAAAAACCTGGTTATTACTACTGTATTACTTTTTTTATATTTGCCTTCCGAAAAGTTGTTAATCGAGTTTGGCATATTTACAACAAATGTCACATTACAGATGTTTAAAAAAGTACTTGACAAATTTTGTTATGGCCTTTTTTTTTTTTCTTAAAGCACAAATCTATCATTTTATCAAAGGTATGTACATTTTTTGGATCCTCTGTATTTTTTATTTTTTTAATAAGCAGTTGGTTAATGAAATGCAACTAACACAACTTACTACCTTAAGCCAGTGTAGCAGGTTTTAAGGTGCTGCACAAAGAACAATACTAAGTTAAAGCACAAACCTTGATCACAGAGACTACTTTCATTATAGCTTCATTAGTTGCATAAAACAGACAAGTCGACAATAAAAATGCAGCAAAGCTGTTTTGATACCATCCCTTCACCTGCAGGATTCAGAGTTTAATTAAACTAAAACTATAATGTCTGGTGCCTTTTCTCACAAAATCTTAATAATTTTATTTTCTCACTAAATCATTCTTTGCTTTTATTTGAATGATCAAACATATTTACTGTCAAGTTAGTTACCGGTGGCATTTATTAAATTAAAGGACTGATCTGCTCCCAAATTATTAATAATGATTTATGTTAAGTCACACATTAAACTCATAACAAACTGAATCAAATGCTTTCAGACTGACTACAGTTGTACTAAAAAGATATTTTGGCAACGCTTGTTTGCAAGGTGACCTGCAGTAGTGGTGTTTATCAGAAAAAAGTGCCTATGCTTTGTTCTGTTCTGTTTATCCCTAAAGCTGAAACCTGGATCTACAGCAGGAATCAAGTTCTAGATTTGCTGATTCATATATTTACTATTGAGATTACACAGAATATTCACACATTCTATGTTTTTGTGAATCGGTTCATTAAACCACTGAACACATGGTGTTGGGAGCTTGAATGTAAAGGGTTTGAACAGCTGCAAGTTTTAACTGCACCTGTCACTAAACTTAAAGGCTGTTGTGGATTTATAGATCAAGAATGTGACCAACCCCTTTTCTAGTCTCTAACATGTAAACTGAAACTTCAGTGTAAGAACTGAACATTCAGTTGAATCCTACTTTAAGAAGTTAAGCTGTAAACCATTTTTTGGCTTAAAAATATCTGCCAAGAGAGCTCAGTAAACTTTGTTGAGTTGTGCTGTGATACTTGTTCCGTAAGGCTGGATAATCTAATTGGTCAATTCTTTTATGGTGTAACAATTCTGTTTTTTTTTTTTTTTTTGCCAGATAACTGTGCATGATTAATTAATTTTGCTGAATGAAATCTGCAGTCTGCATGCAAAAAACATTTCTGTCAAAAAAACCCAAAAAATAATAAAATTGGAGCGGGGATTTAAAAGATGTCCTTTTTTATTTTTGCATTCTTTTTCACTCATCCCTCTGAAGAACCAAAGCCAAAGCATCAGACGTTGAGGTTTCAAACAAACTCAGGGAAATTAAGCTTTTTTTTTTTTTTTTGCACATGCTTCAGATTTGCTATTAAGAAAAATGAAACCAGACATGCCCTTTTGCATTTTTACAGCAGCAAGGCGTACAGCCAAGGGGCGACGTAAGCAAGAACAGCAAGCAAACTTAAAAAGGTCTTGACGCTGACTGAATGCATACTAACCTGGCGGTGAGACTAGCTTTGTCTCCACCTGCTCCTCCATCTGATTCAGTGCACAACAGAGGCAATGAGGACACAAAACCAAAGTCACCAATAATAAAATTTAATAATCAAAGCATAAAAACAGAAAGTCAGGCAGCTGATAAAAATAAATTTTGGGAAAGAATAGCTTGGCTGTGCAATCAGCAGGGGTTAAAGGCCTCTCACAGTACCTTCATGTCAGCTTCACCCTTTCTGGTTCTCTTCATGATCTCCTCAATTCTCTGCAAAAAAAAAAATGTAAAGGATATTTACTTACCAACTACTTACATTTACATTGGAAGCTTTAATCAGGAACCTGGGATTGGTTTATCTCCTTTCTGAACATAATTCCATTAAAGCAAACCTTTTTCCTGAGTTGCCTCTCCTCCTCTTCCTGTTGTGTCTGAAGTTCCCTGCCTTGCCGCTCACGCTCTGCATCTTTTTCAGCCTGCACTTTGGCTTTTTCTTTCTGCTTGTTAATGGCAAACAAGTAGATTTTCAAGAAAATATAAAATAAACATATAACATTATCATGGTAAAAGTTATGTTTGCAATACAAAACAAAACCAATAAATGCAGTAATTTCCAAAAGTATTCATACCGGGAACATTTTTGACCTTTTTCTTGCACTCTAAATAATCTGGTCTTTTTGTAGAACAGGAAATTTATAATTTTTGTTAAAGAAACCATAAACCATGAATTGGACCATTGCAAACTCATGGAAGGACACCTGGTGTTATCAGAGCAGATAGCACCTGTTAGGAATCCAGTTTGTGTGGTTGTGTTTTTTTTGTGTGTCTTTCTCTTCCTCCACCACCAGGTGGTGCCCTCTTCTCGTTGGTCCTGGTTGGTTCATCACTGAGGACTACTTAAGTGGTGGACTGTCACTATCTCGATGCCAGAGTGTTTGCCAGTTTTGGGTACTCTAGCCAAGCTGAGATTAGCGGAGTCTAACTGAGTCTTTGTTTCTCTGAGTTCTAACTTTGTTTTTGTCTTTGCCTTTTGGCAGGAAGCCATCCTGCAGGCTGGATGTTTTTGACCTTCTTCCCCTGGAAGGATTGTTTGAGTCTCACACTGAGCAGGGGATTAACCTCAACAAGTTCCGTTCAAGACTTCCTGGATTCCAAGTGACAGTCCGCTCCATAGTGCCTCAGGAACCAACCAAATTAAAACCTTTTAGTGGAGAAAACCTTCTTCCCAGAATCCAGTCTTGTGTGGGTTTACCAGAGGGAGGAACTCGTTGGAGGGTGGCTCCAACGAGTTCCTCCCTCTGGTAAACCCACACAAGACTGGATTCTGGGAAGAAGGTTTTCTCCTCTAACGTGAGTTCCGTTTTCTCTGTTTCTCCAAAGTCATCGTTCAAAGTTCCCACGGACCCTGAACTAACCTCTGATACTTCCCTTCCCACTTCCAGTTTCGGTTCACCAGTACACTGAGATTCCTGAATCCAACCCCGTTCATCTCCTCAATAAACCTGTCAAACTTTTACCCTTGTCTCGCTGAGTGGTTTACTGCATGTGGGTCAGATCCCTTAAGAAAATCATGACAGCACCACATTGCATATCACTCCAATAACATCATGTGAAAACAAGGTGGAGGGAGAATCATGAGTTGCTGTTTTTTCCTTTTTTGGTAAAACGTATTGAGATAAACTCACAGTAATCCAGAGTGAATCAAAAAAAATAAAGGCCACAAAGGACTTTTCATTAGAACTATGAACACAGAAACACTCACATCTACAAATAGCCCAAAGAATAGACCTAAATCCAGTTGTAAATATCCACTAGACTCAGTTTAAGTTTACATTTAGGAAGAGAAAGAATCTGATAATTCTTTTGATGTGGAAAGCTTATTGAGTCATAGCCCAAAATATTTACATCTGATACTGGATTAATAGGTGGCTCTACAACCTTTTGACTCAGACAGGTTGAACAGAACTCAATTTTCAGAATTTTACTTAAGAATCAAACTACAGTGGAGCAGTCAAAGCTGTTGATCACTTCAATGATCTGGAATAAACTCCCAGAAAATATTGAAAGCACTGAAACCCTTATTCATTTTCTAAATCAAAATGTAAAAATTCTATTATCCTTATTCATATAAATATCGAATTTTAATGATAACTATTATTTTTAATTATTTTGTGTTGCCTTCATGGCGTAGCAATACACTTTTCTCTTCCTTTTTTTCTCCTCACGTACAGCACTTTGAATTTTCTTGCCACTTAAATTCAAATCATTTCAATGTGCTTTATAAATTAACTTGCTCTGCATTACTTTGTGGAAATCTATGTCGACAAACTCCCAAAAAATTCTTTTAAGTTTGCGGCTACAACAGGACAAAATCTCGGAGCATAATCAGTATGAATACTTTTGCAAGGCACTGTGTAACATTAAATCAAAGCTTTAACTGTGTCGTCATTGAAACTGACCTCTGCTTCAATTTGGTTCTGCCGCTGTTCTTCCTTTCTTTTGTCTTCCTCTAGTTTCATCCTGTGGTGGTCCGTCATATTGTTCTGCCCCACCTCACCCTGCTGTGCCTTTGCCTCTTGCCGCTGTTCCCCCTGAGCGAGCTGCTTCCTTTGTTCTTCTTTCCTTTATTTGATCATAATGTACAAGTCATCACCAGCATCCTTTACCTAATGTTTTAGTACAAATTCTTTATAGTCCTTTAATTTAGCAGCTCCATTTTAAGGACGCAAATTATTTATTTTGTTTTGTCAACAAAAACTCCCTCCATCCTTTTGCTAAGTGTAGCTTCTTAAAGATTGAGCTATTTAAAATCAGGATTCTTTCGGGGAGTTTACCTTTCTTCTTGCTCTTTTTGCTCTTTTATCTCTTCCAGTTCTTTCTGGGCTCGAGCCTGACGCCTGCGCTCTGCAAGCAGCCTTGTAGCCTCCTCTGCATTTGATGTGCCAGCTCCCACTTTCCCTGTGGATGCGACTGCTGTAGATTCTGCGAAACATGGAAAAGATATTGTTCGAACTATTCGTTTTTTTTTTAACTTGAGGTGAATTAAGATGCATTCACAAATAAATACAGCTTTACCCTTGTCTCCAGTCTGTCCATTGACTTGCAATCTTCTCTCTGAGGAGTCCATTCTGGGGGACATTTGGTTCCTTCTGTCTGCAGGATTTTTCTCGGGTGGGTTTCTGTTGAGGTTCTTATCAAATGGACTGTGTGGAGATTGTTTTAGGTTACTGGTGTCTGCGTTGGTTTTTGCTATGGGGTTAGCTTGGGGCTGTTCACCCTTTCTTTCTGGCTTCTTATCATCTCCTTTCTTGTCGTCACTCAAGTTTGGGTGATGCCTGTTTGGAGAATGGTGGTACTGCGGAGAACTGCCAGGGGACTGTGCTCGCATCTTGGATGATAATCTGCACAAACAGAAATGCCTGACTTTAGGAACCAGGTATTTGATCAGCCAACCTTTTGATTTCTGAAGCAGACTCACCTGGATGCATTGGGGGAAGTCAGCCGCTTAGTAACACTTGCTGGCGACTCAGATCTTCTCAGAGGCGATCCACAGCCAGGGGATGCGGTTCTTCTCTCTCGCCGCAGACGTTCCTTCTAAAAACAGGGTTTAAAAAAGGTATACAGTACACCTTAAAACCAAAGCTCATTCACAGCCACTCATCTTGTGTAAGGATAGTATGTTTAAGATATGAAGGTTTGACCTTAGGGGTGCTGGGGGTGGACTGGGAGCCACCCTGAAGTCCGGTTCTGCTATGAGCTGCAGAATTCAGCGTGTTGCAGAAAGGTGACCTGTGAGGACTGCAGGGTGCTGTGCAACAGCAAATGTCAGTCAGTAATTACAAACTCGTCTCAGACATACAAACAAGGTAATCTTAAAAGTGTAAGGTGAACCTGACTAAAGAAAATTGAGTTCCTGTTTATAGCATTTTTTGTTATAGAAAGATTATGATGTGAGAGTAAAGGAACATTGGCAAATAGAAGGATACTTGTGGTGTAAATGTAAATGGGAAATGCTATTAAAACCTGGAGAAATTTACCTCTGCATTTAACCCATCCCTTTGGGGAGCAGTGGGCTGCCACTGTGCGGTGCCAGGGGAGCCCTGTATGGGGTTAAGGGTCTTGCTCAGGGACCCAGAGAGTGGCAGTCTGCAGGATTTGAACTCAGAACCTCACTCTTTGTGTCACAATTCATAGATTTTTGTCTGTTTTTCTTTTATGCTCCTTTTTAAACTAGAATTTAGTAATTTTTCTGTTTGTTATTATCAGCATTAGTTTCTTGACAAATTCGTTTTACTTGTGCTTGCTTATTCATGCATTTTAATATTTGTTGTTAGATTCAGGCTTTGTTTTTGTTCTGAGATCATTTTTTTGTCTTAGCTCATCTCCTTTAGTGTTATTTGGTTTCCCTCTGGCTCTATTGGTTCCTGTAATTTTCCACCCCTGCCTCAGTGTTAAACTTGTTTTTTTTATGATTTTGTTAGATTCTTCTTTTACTCTGTCATTCTTTTTATGTGATACAGTCTTTTTTCTTGGAAAGTCAGACTTAACTTTCCTTTTTTTCAGAACATTTAGAATGATCACAATTATTCTTCTTCACTAAACAACAAAATACCAACAAAGATTTCTAATAATAATAGTAGTATTGACCTATTAAGCTAACTTGGTTGAAATGTTTTGTGTCCTTGTAAACAAAAAGCCTTGAATGAAAGGCAACCAAATCCTAGCGTAGTTTTAGCGACTAAGTGTGTAAGTATGTTTACTTGTTTATTTGCATCCTGACGAGAGCTTTAGTCATTTCTTTGAAATTGTTCTTTAGGTTTATCCGCCCACTCGCCGAAAAGTCCTTTGCTGCTGAATCTTGTCCCGAGCTGCTGGGTGTCCTGTGCTGTGCCCTAAGTTATGCAGATGCTGACTGGATAACACTGGTCAGCGTGTGCAACTCTGGCCACCTTGGTTTGGTTGCTCTGATCACAGGACATGTCTCTAAAAATGAAGGTCTTTGTATCTGATTGAATTTGCGAACTGCTGTTGGACTGCTTATGTTGCTTCTGCAGTAACTTGCTCCTTGCTCATTAAGTGAGCCCTTACAGGATTCGTTGAACTGTGAATTGAGACTCTCTTTACCGCTTTCAGACAGCAAACTCACAAAGCCTTTTTGTCTTTTGCTCTAAGGTTTTTTAAACATGTCACACCAAATCAAATCCTCTCTGAGACACCTCATCCTCATTCCTGAACAGAATGATGACTAAGCATTCTCATGCTGTTTATACTTGCCTATAATTACCTAAAATGGTGGATCTGGTACCTCCAGTTTTTTTTTTTTATTAGACCTAAGAATGAATCAGCTATGTGAAGATCTACCAATCTGCTTCTGATTTCGTGCCTGTATTCTTTTGATGTGTCACCTTGAAACACATCAAAAGTGATTCCACTAAATATGTTTTTAATTGATATTGCAAAGCTATGATGTATTAATCTAGCATTTCATAAAATGTTTAATACCTTATATGTAAAAATTTAAATTGCTAAATGTTAATCTTGGTTTTACCAAACAGGGAATATTTAGTCAACCTTAATTAACCTAAAACAGAGTATTTTCATTTGAGACAGTGAATAAATAGTGGCTTTTACAGTGGATTTAAAGACTGGTGAAAAAGCAGCCTTTGTAAAAAATATTTCAAAAAGGTTCATCTTTTTGTAAGGGCATAACTTCACTGTAAAATTTCATTCATTTTGAGTTGTTTTTTATACCCTCTTGTGTTCAAATACAGTGGAGAAAGTTTTTTATAAAATATTACAGGTCCAAATTACAATGTCATGGAAGTGTGACAAAAAATTTATTTAATTCTATGATGCAATAATGGGAAAACAATAAAAAATATATATATTTATTAACTATCAATGATTGTTTAAAGAGTCTAGGTACCTCCTAAACTCCCCTTTCTCTTTCCTCTGTCACATCTAACTTTATCTGTTTATGCATTTAGTACCCCTGCATGTTAGCAAGAAGAAAGATCAGGGGTAAAAGATGAAATTGTATTTTCTGTGCATTTAATATTGCAATGAAAAAATAACAACACTGCTTTGCTTTGCCATTTTTAAAGATTAGAACATATTAGCCTTAAACAATTAGCCTGTTTCTGGACTGTCACGTCTATAATAATCAAATAAATCAAATACTAATGAAAAAAAAAAATCACAAAGATTTGCTGATAAAACAAATGTCAAACAAGTGCAGGCATTAAATATAGATTTCATTGAATGACACCAGAAATAGTGTTTCTATTAGCTTGTAACTCTGTGATAGAATCTCTGAGGAGTGCAGAAGTCATCCCGCTGGGCTAACAATATCCATGTCTATTTTAGTGCACATAATTTTATGAATTTCTAGGTCATTTGTGATTTATCCCAGCATTCGTCTGCTGCAAAAAGCCAAAGTCAGTACCATTTAGCTGCTGTTATTATCTAACCTTAATCCCAGGTTTAAAGGGAAAAAAAAGAAAACAAAAAAATATATATATCACTTAAATATCTTCGAAGGAATGTGAGAATTTCAGACCACTGAGAAATTCAAGGCATGCTGATCCAGTTCTTTTAGCATCTTCCTGATATGAGATCAGGGAAAACTAAGATGGGAAAACTAATCCGGAGGCGGATTTTTTGTCATTGAGAGCATGTGTGTAGTCGAGCAAATAATCTGGATTGTGGGAGATGGAATTATGGAAAACAACATGTTTCCTCCAACAATTATACTGAAACCAGTTCATTTTCTTATTGTTATCATTCCTGCATGCAGGCTGATGCATTGCAATTGTTTGCCAACAAATGCAGCATAAAGCACATGGATGATGTTCCAAATGAAAATGATGGGATGTGAGTTCGGTCAGTTTAAATTAAGATTTCTAGTTTAACACCTTATACGAATCGCTGACATGTGTTACCCAACTTATTCCCACTCCTCGTCTCTTCTAAATCAAAGATGGAGGTCTCCACTAACGAGAACGAAAAACAGAACAATGAAGCAGTCTTGCAAAAGTATTCATACCCTTTGAACCTTTTCAAATGTTGTCATGTTACAATCACAAATGTCAATGTTTTTTTTAAAGTGATTAAAAATTTTCGAGGCATAGAGGGAATATAAATGGTTTCAGGATATTATAAAACAAACAAAATATCAAAAAATAAAGAAATTTGTCTTTGTGTTTGAGATTCTTACTTTGACTGAACCCTTTTGATGCATACATTTGCTCATATCTACATGAATCTACTGTAGCTCTATCTACAGTATATGTGTGGGGTTCCTTAACTGACCTGCATTTATCTCCATCCATCTTCCATATCTGACTAACAAACTTCCCATTTAAAAAAATTGCATCTATTGCGTTAAATGAAAATGGGCCAAAACTTTCTGCTCTGGTCTAAAGCTGTGAACGAAACTTTTACAGCTTCCTTTCTGCTATTATTCAAGAAAACAAAGATTTTTTTAAATGGGTGACTAATTTGGTGCCTCTCCCACCAGAGCTGTGGATGTCTGCAGTTTCTAGTAACCATGGCCTTATTGGATGTTTCCCTGACCTGCCAGTTTAGGAGGATAGCTATTTTCTGTTTGCTTTACTGTGTCAGAGTATTAAATGTTTCAGGTGATAGATCAAACAATCCTTCATAGGAGGTATCTTTATCTCTAAGCTTTCTGATTTGTTCTTTGATCTTGGTGTTTTTTCCCTATTTTGACTATCTCTTTACCAGAGTAATTTGTTTTAGACAAGTTTTTACTTCTACTCCTTAAATTTTGTTTGCAATTATCTCTACTTTTCACTCCTTATATTTAAAAAAGTAGACTTGTTAGCTTTGTTTCATTTAAGCTCATTTTCATTATCGCCTATTGCTATCAAAGAAAATAAAAACCATCAACAATTAATTTCTTTGAAACTTTTTGTTCACCACATACCAAAACAAATAGTTTTTCAAGATGATGCAAGGTTAAATTTGACACTGTTACCATTAGTTATAAAACTAAGAAAATGAAGTAGAAGGAAGTTATTATCCAAAATTGTAGAAAAATGTCCCTTCAATAGGGTAGTGCTGTAACCAGCGTTTAACCCTATTTAAATCATCTGTCTTTAACATTTTTTCCTGCATTCCTTTTAGGTAGTTTTAGAAATGGTACTTTTATACTTTTACTTGAGAAATAAACTTTAATACACTTCTGATAACAAACTGTTCTCTGAGGTCATCAAGGTAATGCTATATTTTTGGTAAGATGAAATTTCACAAGTAGACTTATGAAGAGTATTTAGTTCCACTGCCGTTTGCAAGTCATAGAAGGTCAAAGGCGTTAAAAAAAGTATATGCAACAAAAAATAAAAAATAAATAGAGAGAGAGAGAGAGAAACTTAAGGCTGTAACAAAATGTGAACAATTCTCATAATATGAATTCCTTTGCAAGATACTTCCATCTATCAGGTCACAGAAGGACACAAATAGAAGCAAGACAGTTTGGACGTTTGTGTTCCAGTTTCAGTCTAGAAACAAACATGGTGACAGAGACACTGTAACTGTTGGATGAACACGAGGGAGAGGCATTTGGGAGGGTATGGGGTGGGGGCTTAACTTTACCGGATCCGCTGACAGCAGGATGGGGGGAGGCAATGCCATGGGAAAAGGCGAAGGCAGCAGAGAAAGGGATTGGGGCATTCTCACAGTCACCTATAGGCAGCGGGCGGAGCAGAGCAGAGCAGAGCAAACAGAGCATTATGAACAGTTTCTCTGACCACCTTCTCATCCAGCTGTAGAGAATGAGCAGGAATTAGCATACCAGCAGGGACGTTGAAATGCAGCGTAAACCGAAACAATGTGTGAGTTTTTGTCCAAAAGAGTAAGAAAACATTTAAACGTCTTCAAATCTTGGAAACCAAGTCCAGTGGATATTTTTTTTAACTTTTACAGTAAGAAAACATTTAAAGTTATGAACTGTGAAACTGAGAAAAAGTGGGTGATAACTGATAAATACCCCTGGGTTACATTAACATCTACATGAGCTTGATTAATTCACAGAGGTTCAGAATGTGAGTCCTACAAATGGAGAGGAGGAGCACCCTGTGCAGACCTTTGATTTCATAATGGCTCTTTGGGAAAAGAGGTACAGCTTGTAAAATAAGTATTGAAAATGTCAAATTTTATCTCAGTTTAAATGATGTGTCATAAGCCAATGACCTTTGAAAAAATAAATAAATAAATTTACATGTACAGTGAAAATCAAAGCAAAATTGTTCACAAGTTAAAAAAGAATCAAAACTATTGAATGAAACAGGGAATAAGTATTAAATACATGTAGATGAAGCGGAGCAGAAAAATGGCAAAGAAAGCAAGAAATCAGCTGAAGCCTGTTAGCATTCAGAAAGCATTCAGTATCAGTCAGTTTTATTATTGTGACCTATAAAAATATTATTTTTTTATCACTTAGGAGCTAAAATGAGCAGCACAAGTAAAGAGACTTTCAGATACATCAACTGCTTTTGTGATTGCTCCAATCAACATATTTGGAGGGGATAATTTTACCATTAAATGAATAATCAAAAGAGAAGAGGGGAATTCACAAAGAGCTTCAGAAGGGCCTGGAAATATCTGCTATAGTTTTTTTTTCCTGTTAAAACATGATTGCTCTATTTAATAAATATTCTAAAAATAAATATGAAATAAAATAATTTACTCTAAAGAAAGGCTTGCTGCAGCTTGTTAGATATGATTAGGCTGAATAAATGCTACGGATTTTGTCTTGTTAGAGCAGGTTGAACCTGAATATCCTGGATTTCATTATACACTATGTTCAGAGAAAGAATGGGTCTGTTTATTGCCACTGAAGGCCATTGACATAAGTGAAGTTTGCTGGTGAGAAAATCAGGGGTTGGGCTGTCTAACAGCATAGCTTAATGGCAGATTTCAAATAACTATTATAATGATATGTCGGGTATTTTTAAGAGAAGGAGCACTCCCAAAAATAAAAGACTGGGAAGTTATTATTATTAGTCTCAGATAAAAAGGGTCAGACTACAAAAACCACCCATTAAATATATAAAACTACTACGCTGCTTACCTTCCAATAGACAAAAGACAAGATCGATCTCTTCTTTCTTCATTAGAATAGTCTCTTCTCCTTATTATTTCCATAACTCCAGCCAAGAATTACATCCAACTAGTTTAAAATATAGAATTGATCATTTCCAAAAAAAAAAAAAAACCTTTCTTAAAAAGTATTTTTTATATTTTTATCTTTTTTAAACTTTTTTTTTTTTGTCCTGTACTCCGATATTTTACCCTTAACCTCATTTATGGACTAATATGCTTTGATTCCCCCTTTGTTGTGGATTACTTTAGCTATTGGCAACATCTGGTGTGAATTTCCCATCAATATCCCCATTAGAAACATTTAAATATTTGAACCAAGAAGAAAAAATGACATTTTCACAACATATTTTACAAAGTGAGTACAACTTTGTTCATGCAAACTTTAACAGGCAGACCACGAGCGATGGTCACAGATTATTAACACATGCACAGTAGTATCTTAAAATATCTTAAAAGCCACTAATCATAGCTTTTACTGTCACATCTGACAGGGAAAAATCCAACCCTTAATTTCAATGAATATTGAAGAAAGGAGTGGATCTAGAGGAGTGGTCAGGCAGGCCATGGCCACCCCTGTCACCACCTTCATCAGGTGGTTTGTTGTTCCCCCTGAGATGTAATTCGATATCCCTGGAACAAGCAGTTTTCCTCTAAGCCTGAAGGTGGCAGCTGTGATACCATAATGTGGAATTTCATATTATGAAATATTAACACTGGTATATTAACCAAAAAATGAATAGAAAACTGTAGCTTAACATAATTAAATAGTCTCTATTTAACCTGCCTTCTTCCAGTCATCAGTGCCAGATTATTCAAGCCCTTGGTGAGGGTCTTCTAGCATGTAGTATTGTTTCTGATTGCCTGACCCTTACCTGTCCTACATTTGGACCTTTGAGCCTGCCTGTTTCCATTCTGATCTGTTTGCCTGACCTGTCTTGGGACTCCTGCATTTTTCTGCCTGTTTTCAGAACCTGGAACTGCTACCTGACACCATCCTGGATTTCCCTTCAGTATCTCTTCGGATCTCTGATCTTCTGACTCAGACTCCCATGGACCTCCTCGACACCTTCACCCTCTGGATTATCCTGCATTCCTTCGACTACTTGGATCTGATCGGCTTCTACGTCTGGGACTCTGTGGGCAGTGTCCGCCACATCTTGTCGGCAGCCAACCCGCTGGAATCTACATCTACCTCTGGACACGGACTGAACTTTTAGACCAGAGGTTCCTGCCTTAGATGGTCCTAGCTGTTAACTGCAGATCTGTAATTTTAAATAAACTCTTTTTGAAATATCATGCTGCCTGTCTCCCTAAATACTGGGTTCTTTGTTCTGAGCTCTACCACTAACTACTGTAAAGAATAAAGCATAAGTTTAAATATGTTTTAGTTATAATTTAATAAAAAGTGTCAATAGTCCTAATAAGTATGGCTTGGCTGACTGTAGAAAAAAAAAAACTTTTAATCTCTGAATAAATGTAAATGAAAGGTTGGATTTTTCAGGTAGGATTGCTTAAAGCTTTATATATATGTTTAGGTAGATGCAGTAAGTGGAGGACAAACAAGAGACTTTTCACAGAACAACCTCTATTTGGATCTTAATGATGACTTCCTACCTGCTCCTGGGTAACCTCTTCCCCAGCGTTTGGTTCTCTGCTCCAGCTGAAGGCTTCTTTCCAAAGAACGTTTCATTAGGGCCTCAAGCCGCTCCTGTATATAACATGAATAAACTCACTTTGTTTAAATTCCCTCACCTCTGAGTGGAAGTTAATGACCCGAAGTAGCAGCAGCTATATTTAAAATATTAGAAACTACAAGATTGAATTTAATGTGTGAAAATAAGTGAAATCCAAGGAGATTCAATAAAACATGTATTTTAATGTAACCTTTAAACTGAAACTGTTCAAATCATCTGACCCTCTCCTCCTCCAGCTGCTGCCTTCTTTTCTCCTCCACTGCAGCTCTACGGAGCTCCTCTTTCTGCCTCTGCTCCTCCAGCCGTCTCCAACGCTCCTCCACGGTGCGCTCGTACTGCAGCCGAGCCCTGCGCTCCTTCTCCCTGATCAGCTGCTCCCTGGCCGCTGCGGCAAACATGGATTTACACCAGAAAAAAACATTTAGACAGCCCAGCATGATCTTCTGTTAGCTATAGTTAATCATTTGCTAATTTCAGATATCTAAGAATCTTCGGTTTATTTTTGTCTTTCTTTTAAATCTTGTAATAATGTTATTCAGTTTCGACATGAATAAAGATGAGACCTGATGATGATTCAGAACTAAAGAATGTTCTCCCTATTATGGCATGTTTTTTAAAACTTTAATGATATATAGGACAGACATGTAAAAACAAGAAAACTGTACAATAACCATTTTTTGAAATGTTTTGATGAAGGTGTGACAGCCTTTTATTTAATAAAAATAACCAGGCTTGGTTAGATTATTTTGTTTTTTTGTTTCGTTTTTTTTCAGAGGAAGCCAAGCTTAGGATCACTTTTAAAAAAGGTCTGTTTGACACAGAAACAAAACGGTGCATCATCACACCCATCTTGAGTTAAACATAGTAGTGGCAGCATTGGGCTGTGTGGTTAAATTTCCTGAAATTGATTTCTTGTTTTCATTAATGATTGGTTTAATTAAAAGGTCAAAGCTCCAGATGATAAACAGATTAGCACAAGTGGCTTTGCTAAAAGAAAATCAATATTTCGGGAATTTCCAAGTAAATTTAAAACAACAGTGCAAAAAAAAAGGGAAAAAAAAGAAATCTAAATAAGTAATTTTCTCTTAAAATAAGAGCATTTTTTTCTTGAATGGAGGAGTTATGGGAGACAATTTGCCAATGGAACAAGACAATTTACATTTAAAATAAAAAAAAAAAAACAATTGAATTGTCTTATTTCAAGAGCATATTATCTAATTATCTTATTCTAAGAGTAAAAATACTCACCATCTTATTTACCTGCTCAAATTAAGCGTAAATAGACTTTATTTAATTTTGACTTATTTCTAGATAGGTTTTGCAGTGTAACTCTTACAAAAAACCAGTGGCCTCTCTGGAGAAGATGTTAACATAAAGGTTTTCTAAAACTTAGACAAACATCGGCCAGGATTAGAGGACAAGCTGTTGCATTCAGACTAAATTATTTGCTTTTCAGTTGAAATGTTTAGTATCTTTCTAACTTTAGAGGTTTAAAATGACTTATTTCCTCAAAAACACCTGGCTTATTTGCAGAGATGTAAAGCTTTTTAGGTCTACTCTAGCTTGCACTTATGAACTATACAGAGTTTGAATTTGCATGTCTACCTTGGCTCTAGATTAAATCACTAAGATATAAATCCTTGTCGCCATGGGGCAACCACTGGAGCAGCAGGATTATCTCCTAGTGAAAGACCTACTTTTGTAGAGCGTTTAGTTGCTCTCAGACTCTCAGCCATGACTCAGCTCATCATATCAGAAACCCAGTGAACTCTAAATGAATCTTCAACAGACCAGAAGAGTCCCCATATACTCCATTAACAGCTATGGAGATTACATCACAGACAAACTTTAAAAAGGAAAACTCTGACAGGGCATCCACCTACCCAGACTTCTCTCCCTCTCCTCGCGTCTCTCTTTGGCTAAACGCATCCTGTCATCAGTTTTCATGTAGCCCTCCTGACCTAAAAGATTAGTGTTGATGTTAGGAAAAGTAGGCAGAACTGAAGTAGGGATGTGATTGTTAGGGAGGAATACCCACTTTGTTTCCCTCCATGATTGTTACTAGTTAGATGTGAAGGGGAGGCATGTCCATTCATGTGTGGCTTCTTCTCTGCGTTTGATGGAGCTGGAATCAAAATAACCCCCTGGAGGTTAAAATACATTCTTGGATTGTCCTGAGAAGGCGAACACTGAGCTGTAGCACTCATTTTCTACCAGCAGGGGAAAAAAACAAAACATTTTACTCTGGCTCATCTGCATTAAATGCATCATGCTGCAGAATGCCTTATGCCAGGCAGGAGGTGCAACACAAGGCCGGAGAGATGTGCTCATCATTTCACATATGCTGACTCTCGCTTCTTGTTAGCGTTGCTGAGCTGTAACCATCTCCTCTGTTAACACTGAACTCAGGCTAATAAAGCCTGCAGATAAAGTTTCCAGAAACCTTCTCAAAATGAAATAGTATTCCCAATCATTATGCTTTTTCATCCAGATGATATCATGTGGCCGGCATATGGGATTAATGTGACTGAATATAATGAGAGAGATGATTACTCACTTGTTCTTCCAGTTCGTACAGGAGAGCTGTCACCATTTGTTGGAGATTTCTTCTCAGGAAGCAGAGAAATGGATGGTGGGGCCATCTTTTCACCTAATGCACAATGCAAGGAGCCACACAAAACATGTTTTTGTCGGGTTTTTTTTTTTTTTGCATTAACAATAAAGTGCAGGGAGAGGATATGCTCTAGAAGTGTAATTGCAAGCTGGGTGGATGATGACTGTTAGCCAACGTTTAGGGGAAGCTGATGGAGGAAATATCTGTCTCATAAAATGCGCTGAAATAAACCTGTAACATGACAAAGACAAGTGATAAAATGTGTGATTAAATAAAACATTATGATAAATTTTATTATAATAAGTTTTATTAAACCGTTTCAGTAGTTTAAAGACATTTTGTTGTGGTGTAAATGAAAGTATTTTAGTGATTTCAGTCAGCAGGCCTAGATGTGGTCCCTGGATCAAGAACATGATAAAATGTACATTTTTTGTCCTATAAGATTTTTTAAAATCAGAATTGTCATACTGTTGAAATCTAATGCACGGCAATTTTGCTGATTTTTTCTATCAAAAATATTTTTTTCTAACTAATAAGTATACTAGATATGGATGTTCTCTTAACTGACAATCAGTTAAGCAGGATAAGCTGAATCTTATTAAGTCTTCCTGATAACAACAGAGTGAAATGCCATTAAAAAAAGATTTAAAACCACAAATTCGCAAAATTAATACGTACATTGCTGCATAAAATGGTAATGAATAGGTTTACAGTCAGGGGTAATATCTGTCACCTAACTAACACTGACCAGATTCTGCTTTAACTTTGCTTTAGCCAGAGCTGATCACAAACGACTCCACTGGTTGAATTGAATGATTAAAACATTTATCACTCTTCCCAAAGCCAGAGTTTAATGATGTCTTCACAGAGCATGAAAAGAGCCATTAGATAATGAATCAGGTGGTTTTAGAGAAGCCATTACATTTTTAAGGCACTGGTGCCTCTAATTGGAGGACTATGAGGGAATGGCCTCCCCCACATCCTCATTTGTTCATAAATGCAAACTCCTACAGACCCTAAATCATGGCTGCAATACTGTTTCTTTTTAGTTGCCTTTATTCTTGCAGAAGCAGTGAACACTGAAAAGGGCTGATCTCTCCTCATTAAATCTAATTTGATCACTGGCCTGCAGGGAAATGCCCTCTTTCAGGGTGGGGAGGGTGCGGAAATTGACATAAAAAAGTGAAAGGTTAATCTTCATCCCAGCTTGTAAATAAAATAATAATAAAAAACATTAAATGTTTATAGAAAGCAATGCATTTTGAAGTGAGGCATAGTTTCTATTGATCTGCTGTTTTGATTGTCTGGGCTTTCAAAGGGAAAACAAAGAAAACACACAAAGAAGGGTCAGTTTTCTTTAAAAGTGTTTATAAGCTACTTAAGTTTTTGATAGAAAAAACATGAAGATTTGATAAAAAAAAAAAAACAACAGATACAACAAATGAAAAACGGAGAAATGCAGACATCACACAGGGTAGCGGTGGAAATCCGTTGCGTCATGCTTGAGTCTGCTTTTAATCCCGGAATAAACACAACAGCTCCGCTTCAAACCTGCCCGAAAACAAACCCTGGGTGAAGCCTACCTGTCACTGCGTTGGATGACGCGTTGGTTTTCGCCATGGACCTTAGATGCGATGCGAGCCAGATAACAAAGAAAGGAAAGAATTAGCTGTTGTCCCAGCAGATGGGTCCGCAGTGATGCTGATGCTGGTCCCCGTTTTTCCTCCCAAACAGCAGCAGATCATCAAAGAGGGGGAAGAGACAAAGAAAAGCGTTGAGCTAAAGAGGCTGAAGGTCGTTAGGAAAGGCTGAGAGGACGTGGATGATGAGATCGATGCGGCTGGATGATGGAGCTCATGCGGTCAGGAGCAGCCGGCCAAGCGTCGCAGCGTGAGCGCGCTCTGGTCACGTAGAGCTCAGCACGCGGCTTATCCTCCGACAAAACACCAATGATTACGCAATGACAGCCGTCATACATATATATATATAAATATATATATATATATATAAATGTGTGTGTGGGGGGGTGTATGTACTGTATGTATGTATGATTAATTAATACACATACATATGACTGAAAAATAAAAATATATTTATATATTTTAGATATATATTATATATTCTCATTAATTAGGTCAGAAGTCTGTTTGTTTGTGTATTAATAAATCAACTAACCAACATGTTTTCAATCCTTTTCTCCCCAAAATTATGATATCCTACCTGCTTTTGATGAAAACATGATTTTCAAGTTCATAACATTACATCCCTTAAAAATTGTGAAATTTTGGTCATATGTAAAGCATCTTAAATTTCTTATATTTTATTTTCAATTTAATTCAATTATACTTTATTAATCCCCAAAGTGAAATCAAGACATGATGTCCAAGGCCTTGTTGTCAAGAAAGGCCCTGTCCGTGTAATGTATTTTGATTTTTAAAAATGAGTCTAATCAGAACTCATATTATCATTTATTCAATATAATTTAGAGCTTGGCAAATCATTAATTTAATTGATTAATTAAATTATCTGTTTATGAAGATGTAATGTTTGGCAGATGTGGATTTTTTTCCCCACCAATGCACTTTTTGGGCTTCCATAGATCAGAGTTATATTAGTTGATCAGTGTTTGGTGATAGATGCATATTCATCATAAACTAGGTCACTGTGTAATACCACTAGCTGCAAACATTAAGTGCTATATTTTCACTGTTTAACCTCAAGGTGACCATAGGGAATGATATAAATAAAGCCTAATTTTTGACAGTAATCTGTAATTTTGATGTTTTTATTATGAAATTTAAGGGAGAAAATAATTGATTGGAGCACTCAAAACTAAGATTTTTTTTTTGGCCATACAACCCAGCCCTAATATGATTATATAGCCAGTCAAGCTCATCAAATAGAGTAAACCTAAAATAATAATGAAAAAATAAGTACAATAACAAATAAGGTACATAAAAAAGATCCATCACAAAATGTTCTGGCCCATTATTTGGGTAAATAATGCTGAAAGGTAATTGTTCAGTTCACACTATCTATAAGAACAGTAATGCCAGGTTTAGACCGCAAGCATTGGAAGCAGCAAAAAAGCGCCTGATGCTTCATGCTTTCATGCTTGTACACAATAAGGTCAGACATGTGTCATCTTTGATGCTCATGAAGTGTGTCCAGTAAAGTGTGTCCAGATGCGTCTTCTGCTGCTCCTGCATTCAATGGCAGAGAGCGGCTTTGCTATATCTGCTCTTATAAGTGGGTAAAAAAGTAGCTTCTGCTGCCTCTAGCGCGTGCAGTCTGAACGCATCATTAGCCACTAAATATCATTTTTAAATTCTTGTCATTCACAAACAGCTGCTTCTATGAAAAAAAGATGTGGTGGAAGGAAAGTGTGGAATGAAAAATATTCAAACATGGCTAGTGCAATAAGCAAAGGACATTCAAGAGTTTGTGTTTACTTCAGAAGGCTTAAGAGGTGATTAAAACACTGTTATAAAAGGCCCAGTCAACAAAACAAAGAAAATGTGTCACATCAGTACTAAATGATGAATAGCTCTGATGTTGTTTTTGTAATATATCCTCATACATATGAAAGAATGAAATCAAGGACATTCAGTCAACATGCTTTAAGCATGGATTGGCATGGGTTTAATCTATGTTATCTGATCGCAATAATCTTTTTTTTCTCTTTTTTTTTCTCATCACAGAAATAACTTTCTTACTGATTCCGTTTCACTCTTTCAAACTGTAACATAAAGACATGTGGAAATAGTTAAGGGGAAGCGACCCACTTTTCTTCATGGTGCAATATCACCAGCCAGAAACCTAAAGGATGGTAAAAGTGAAACAACATAAACTTCAAGCAACTAGTCACTAAAGGTGTTTTTAATACTAATCATATACAGTCAAAGTTAATTCTTGTACTATTCTTGTTTTATTTTTTGTTCACTTCATTGAATTCTTCAGTTAATACAGGCCGTAGAGCAAAAATAAAAATCTAATAAATAATCAATTTTTTTTCAATGGGATGGTGACTGATTGGATGGATGAGTGGCATGGTCGGTTTATATGTTAGTATAAAGTTCAAATTCATATATTAAGCCCCTCAACTAAGTATGGAGTAGACCACCTGCTTATTTTATAGGCGCACTCAGCTCCTGTTTATAAATTTAATGCTATACTACATTTCTATGTACTTTGTTTTTTATTTCAATTTTTTTCCAGAATTGTCTCTAAAACCTATAAGTATTTAATACTAAAAAAAATATTTTTTTCCTGTTTTGTCCTTATTTCAATTTATATATATATATATATATATATATATATATATAAGTGGTTTTAATTTATATCTGTGGTTCAGTGTTACATATAAAAAGAGAGGTGGCAATAGTTATGCGAAGAAGAAAGAAAGGAAGGTGTTTCTATAAAATCCAAAAGAGAATTGGACAAATGAGAAGAACAGAAAGGAACAGAAGAGAAGAGATAATTACTTCACGACTTAGAATAGGACACCCAGGATTGAACAAGTCATTATTTTTAATAGGGAAACATCTGACAGGGAAATGTGACTGTAGGGGAGATGAGAGAGTGGAACATGTTATTTTGATTTGTAGGAAATATTTGATTCAGAGAAACAAGTTAATTAGGAAACTTAGTCATATGAAAATGAAACTTGACATTGTTGATTTACTGAAAAAAGGAATTAGGAATCAGGTTATGTTTGAGTTTTTGAAACAGATTAAATTGTATAACAGGATATAGTTTTTTATTGTTGTTGTTTTTTTTTCTTTTGTCATGTGGTCCACACTCCTTACCAGTTGGTGGCGGTAATGCTCACCTAACGTTTTTCCCAACCGCCGTAAAAATGTCAACAACAAGAAGAAGAAGTGTTACAGTTGTCAAGTCCATCCGCTCGCGGCAGCACCGGTTTAGCTGTCGGTATTCAAGTGCAAAGAAGAAGAGGAGGCGCCATCGGACCCGGAAGGACAAATCAGTGGCTGGGTAGAAGGACGGGTACGTGTTGTACCTTGCTGGAGGGAAAGATGCTGACCAATATTTCCACCGTACTAAGGGCCTGCGCTCAGAGAAATGTAAGTGAAACTTTTTATCAAACCAAGGCGTGTCTTAGCTCGCATTTAGTTAACCTACCTAACCATGAAACCGTGTTTGTTTATCCCTAACAACCTGTCAGCTGTTTTCTGACCTTGTGAGCCCGGCCGGCTGATAGCAGGTCGCGCTAACAAAGCTAACTCCTGCAAACATATCCACTATAATTCACATTTTTTTTTAGCCCTTTGACCTGCAGAAACTCAATTATTTAGTTAAACGTACATTGACATTGTAAATCTGATTACCCGAACCCAGATGTTGTTGTAAAAGGCAAAGTTTCAAAGCTAGCTTGTTTCAAAACAAGTCGGTATGCTTTGAAGTGCATAATAGAAGTTACAGGGTTATAAAACATGTAATATTAACACAAATCTTCACATTTTTTGCATTTTGACAGTAACATAAAACGTGTTTGTGTAGAAACGGTGACATTCCTCATCTAAAATAGCGGTGTCAGTAGGTATGTTGGTAAACATTTCACCAAGAAATGTTAAATTACATTAATATCTACTACGTAGGTTAAAGTTAAGACAGCTGTAATATTTCCTAAGCACTTATTAGTTTTTTTTTTATTTCAGAATAGATTGAAAGCTGCTAAAAGCTATGATTGAAGTTCATTAATAATATCTTAATAAGAAGTAAAGTAGATAATGCTATGATTCATTCAAAAAACAAGCAATCGTTGAGCCCTTTTCAGTGGTTTGAAATAATCACATGTAATAGACCTGTAATAGCTGTGTTATTCAGTCAAAATAAATATCTTTAGTCACCATTGTACAATTGTGACTAAAGATATAGCTGTTATTATTGTCTAAGCATGCCCTTTCAAACATTCTAATAACATTCTGAAATTAAATAGAAATCTATCTTTTGAAGGAAAAATACATACCAAAACCTTTCCATTTTGGCGTATACACACTTGAATGATTAACCTACAGATTATTTGGTGGATAAAAGAAAAAAAATGATCTTGTTCAGGTAAAATAAGGTATCAGTTTGTCAGTGTAACATTAACAATGAAACGTAGTTATGCTGTTGGCACCCAAAAAAAAAAACAAAAAAAAAACAACAACGAATAATATTAGATAAGTTAGGGGTGGGAGGTGGAAACACATTAGCATCTGTGACTCACTTTATAATGAAATGGTCTCTATTGGTTGACAGATGTTGTGAAACTCTTGCTAGTAATGAAACCTTTAATGCTGTTGCTTTTCCTCCGCCTTTGACAGGGAGCTGCAGCGGTTGTGTCGGCACGAAACTATGCTGACTTCACCTCCCAGGCTACCTTTGAAATAAAGGTAAGATTTAAACACATCAGTGGATCTTGAAGCGTGGAAAAGGGGAATAATAAGATTTTAAGATCCTCTCCTACAGATTAATTAACATAAAATTTCACCAGTAGGGCAAAACATTTAAAACTGTATCAAAAATCGATATAAGAACAAGAGTACCGCTTGCGTAATTCACTACACAAAATCAAATTCTATTAAATTGTTGAACACAGATTCAAGTTGCTAACTTTATACGTCCTTTTTTTTTCACTTGTCTGAAGAAAAGTGACGTCTTCAAGCTGGACGAGGCCCCCGCCACTGAGGTGGTTATGACCCGGGATGAGGGGCTGCAGTACTACCGCACCATGCAGACTATGAGGCGGATGGAGCTGAAGGCAGATCAGCTTTACAAGCAGAAGATCATTAGAGGGTTCTGTCACTTGTATGATGGCCAGGTGAGAATATACTTTAGACCATACAGAGCAGAATACAGAATCACTGTTAATTCAGGAATGTTTTAGGTTATAACTTTAAAATGGAAGACCTTGAGAGGGAAACAGATCTTTAAGGAGAGCAATGCATAAAATAAAGGCTATTTTTTTTCAGAACATTTATAAATGTGAAATGCGTCTTTTTTTTTTTTTTTTTTTTTTATTGTTTTTTTTTTCCTTTGCAGGAAGCTTGTGCTGTAGGGATCGAAGCATCGATTAAGCCAACAGACCACCTGATCACAGCGTACCGTGCACACGGCTACACTTTAACAAGGGGGGGGACTGTCAAGGAGATCATGGCTGAACTCACTGGTGAGCCCACAGTGCCAGCTAATTCATCTTATGATTGATTAATTTCCCTTGCAGATCTAGACCTGTATTCTATGTTCTTAATGCCCAAATCCAAATTATTTTTTGTGGTTGCTCCAATTAGGTTTAAAATGTAGCCTGTACCTGACTTCAGTGTGAACTGATTTAGCACCAAACTGACCTGCATAAGAACAATAAAAAATGTTGACACGCAGCTTAACATTAAACACAGAGAAATAGATGTTATAGTTTAAGTGAACAATAGAAGCCATTTATTGTTGTGTGGGAAGAGCATAGATAAAAGGAGAGTAAACCCCTTTATTGTTACATCTTATTGAAATCTGCAAATTTAGCAAAACAGACTGGATGCAAACACAGTAAGCGATGGTGGGGCAGGAATTTTATCAGTTTTACGGGGACTTTTATTCAGAACCTTAACATATTTTACTCATTTAGCCAGCAGCTCTCCTCCCAACTCTAAAAGTGGAAGACTTGATGCCACCCAATGTTTTGGGCTTCAACAGTGGACAGATAGACACATGCTTGTAAACCATGACAGCAATTTAAAATCTTCTGTTTGAAGGGTTGTATGAAAATGTATCTAAACAAACTGTTCCACATCCAAATAGTTCCTATGAGCCTTTCAATTAGGCTTAAATGAGGTGTAATCTCTGTTTATAAGCTGGCCTCGCTGTCTCCCTCTCCATTTTTCAATACTTTCTCAGCTCTCGTCTATTTTGCTAACTGCTGCTGTTTCCTGTTGGGTGGCGCAAAGTTGTGATGAATGTGATGGAAAGTGGCGTCAAAGTTGCATCTAATCCACCTTGGTAGTTCCCACTGGAGTCACATCCAGGACCACAAATAAAAGTGGCTCAAATATGACTTAAAAAATTCAAATATATCCCAGATCTGAGCCTTTACATCAGATGTGGGCCCTATTAGCCTGCAGTGGGAATGAAGCCATACAGAAGGGTAAAAGTAGATCATTTCAGCTTCTATTATAAATGCTTACTTAGAAAATTTAAAGTTTTAATATTTTTTAATTTCGGTTTGAAAGAGCACATAGGACTCACTTGCGCATAATTTACACGGGAGAAGATTTATTTCACAGTTTGATTGTCGGTAAAAGCTGGAGCTGCTTCGACGGCGAGGAATCATACTTTCTGTAGAGCAGACGGAATAGATGAAAAAAAAACAAGACAGAGTTTAATATCTCTGTGGCATGCCACGCTCCAGAGTTGGGTAATAATTATCTATGGCATTGATGGCTGCACATGCTGCCATAGCCTGAAGGTCAGCCCAGGTTAAAGGTTAACCCTGGTTTGTCTGTGATGAATCCATTTGTTGATTAAAAAACCTCAAACTCTTCTATGTTTGACATCAATTTCTCTCTCCCTGTTTTTATACAGGCAGAAGAGGTGGTATTGCAAAGGGCAAGGGAGGCTCTATGCATATGTATTGTAAAAATTTCTATGGTGGAAATGGGATCGTCGGGGCTCAGGTAGGTTGCAGAAGTCTTTCTGTGTAACGCCTCATTGCTGAACTAAAATATTCTTTCTTAATAATGTAATCAGACCTAAACCTATACATGTATCTGTGTCTTCTTTAAAGGTTCCTCTGGGTGCTGGCGTGGCACTAGCCTGCAAATATAAGGGATCTGACGAGCTGTGTGTCTGTTTGTATGGTGATGGCGCTGCCAACCAGGTAAGACACAGATCGCTGCCATTTATTTGTTTTGAATTTTCACAACGTTGATCAGCCGATACTGCTTATCTCCAATACCCAGGATTCAGGAACATTAACTTGTTCTACCAATTTCCAGAGAATTGGAGCCAGAATCAGCACAAAATAACTACAGATATGAGCTCTGGCTATTGTTTCTGTAGCAATTTTTCAATAGTTTTAAAGATTAATAAATGGCTAATTGCACTTTGGTAAACAGCGCTACATTTTTTTCTGACAGATAACATATAATCATGTATAAAGCAATCTTTCATTCTGGACTGTTCTGTTATTTTCGGTTGTGAGAATAGTTTGAAATACAACATCAATGATTTGATCAAACAAGAAACAGTTAAGCTCGTTCTTGTTGAGGTTGAGCCTCAAAATTTCACACAGGATAAAAATATGCATAATATGCATAAAGGCTCAAATACATACATACATTAATTTTTGTATGTTAACAATTAAGATTCTATAGGTTTCCTTGTTTTTCATGCTCATGATTGCCTGTAACTAGTATTCCCAGTTTAAAACTATACTTTTTGAATAGATAAATTTAACAGAGCTATAGGAAAGTCTGTAAAAGGAAACTTAGATATGGGAAGAGACAATTAAAGATTTGGAACTTTTGGACACACCTCAACATCAATAAACTGTTATAAGTAAGCAGCTTTTTGCCAAGGTCAGGGACAAGCCCCAGATGATCATCCTCAGACAATTGGTGATTTCTGGGCTCTTCCTAAACATCAGATGAAAAATCTAAGTTTCTTTATGTGAAATCTGTCAGGGACTAAGAGCTTCCTGATTAATCAAACTGCCCCTGCTTTAAAATGGGCTCCTTCAAGGTAGACCAGAATTAGCGAGTTCCTATAGGGACAGGTCAGTATGA